ATTCCTGAGGTGGGAGAACTTTCAGAGAAAGGACCAGCCAGGGGCGGGGCAAGGAGGAGGTGTGCCCCAGACGGATTTAGGGTACCCCACAGAGATGATGTGTGGTTGAGAAAGTTCGCCCGCTGAGCTTCCATGGGGCCAAGGGCCTTGCAATGGACTCTCCACTGAGCAACTGGGTAGGCCCCTCACAGCGCATGGGCCGGGAGCCCCACTTCTCCCTGTGACTCACCTCCTGGTCCACAAGGAGGGTTGGGAGACCTCGCCTTTCAGCAAAGGTCTGGCTGGTCGGGAGGCCAAGGAGGGAGGGAGGAAGAGAGGAAGAGAGAGAGAGAGAGAGAGAGAGAGAGAGAATGAGAGAGAGAGAGAGAGAGAGAGAGAGAGAGAGAGAGATTGGATTTACACCCCGCCCTTCACTCAGAGTCTCAGAGCAGCTTACAAACTCCTTTCCCTTTCCCTCCCCCCAGCAGACTTGCCCAAGGTCATCCAGCAGTTGCATGTGGAGGAGGAGTGGGGAATCAAACCCGGTTCTCCCAGATTAGAGTCCGCGCACTTAACCACTGCACCAGACTGGCTTTCCTTCCCGCCAAGTCCGGGCACAAGGCAGCAACTCCTCTGCCCCCCCCCCCTCTCTTCCAGGCAGCTCATTTTGCTTGTCTGACGGCTGCAACCTTCACCACAGCTGGGTCCACACAGGGAGGCAGGCGTGAGGCAGCCCCCCAGGCTGGTCTGTTCCCCTTCTGCCAGCCCTCCCTTCACAGGCTGCAGGGGGGGGCCTTCAACACGGAGCAACCCTGGGAGCAGAGGAGAGCTCAGGCCTGGAGCAGGCCGGGGGTGAGAGGTCACAAGCAGGGCCCCGCGCCACCCACAGAGGCAGGGCAGCCACAACAAATGCCACCGGGGAGGGGGGGGCAGGCGGCAGGGCCAGGTGGGTTAAGAACCTAAGAACATAAGAGATGCCAATGTTGGATCAGGCCAAAGGCCCATCCAGTCCAACACTCTGTGTCACACAGTGGCCAGAAACACCAGTGCCATCAGGAGGTCCAGCAGTGGGGCCAGGACATTAGAAGCCCTCCCACTGTTGACCCCCCCCCAAGCACCAAGAAGACAGAGCATCACTTGCCCCAGAGCCCCTAGCTATACCTTGTGGCTAATAGCCACTGATGGACCTCTGCTCCATATGCTTATCTATATGGAGCAGGGTTTAGTTCTGGCGGGCCCCCCTACGAAGTACCCAAGCTCACCCAGTGCCTCTTCTCTTCCTTGGCCCGTGCTGGCCCCAGGAGCCAGGACAAGCAGGCCAGGAGGTAAGACAACGATGAGCCACAACCTCCCCCGTCTCTCTCTTCCTGCAGAGGCAGGGTACCTCCAGAGCAGCCCCGTGTTAGGATCTGCGAAAAGGCCCCCAGTAGCCTGTGAAAGTCAGGCAAGCTAGAAAACCTGATTTAGGCCGGGAAGCCCGATTCTAGCTGGAAAAATAAAAAGACAAGCCTCAGAGATTTTTTTTCCTTTTCTTGCAAACAGCCTCTAAGGAGCTATTGCGAAACGCAACTTCCTGTTATTCACTTTCTAGCATAGGAATAGGAATGTAATCAGAGCAGCTGGTTTCCAGCTGTTGGCTGGGAAATTGCGAAAGGAGACGAGAGGGGGAGGTGGAAATCTACCAACGGAGCTGCACAATGGGATTTATATCAGAAAAGAATGAAATCCTTCTCATTTAAACCTCATACATATATGCATACATACAGTTATTTACAGGTTGTAACCAGGTACATTATACACAAACCATATCTACTGATTAGAGGAGCATAATCCATGGAGATCTACTGGGGAGACACGGGCTTTCCAAAGGACCCAGAATACGGGACTTTCCAATGACTCAGGACTTTTGGAGCTTCGTCGGACCCTCCAAATTAGGGCAAGTTTGCATAATGCTTTATGGAAGGCATATGTCGGGGTCAGGCTGACCCGGGAGGACAGCAGTAATTGGGAGACCATCAAGTGGGGACTTTCCAGAGACCTCTTAGATACCAGGAAGTTTGCACAACACTCACCAAATAAGGGGATTTTGCACAAACAAGACACTTAGGAAGAAAGGTCATCTTGACCTAAACAGCTATAAACACCGGGAAGACCCCGATCATTAGGGAATAAATACAGCTGTTCTCAATTGATTAGAGAAACAATTTAAATGTCAAACACTTCTGATTGGTCAAGACTGATCAACAATATTGGGTAAACAGAATCAGAAAAGAGGATATAAGATAGGGAATTGATATCAGGGAGGGAGTCAAGCCCGAATCCAGAGAGAGAGAGAGAGAGAGGTGGTTCTGACCAGACAGCCCTTGTCCCGGGTCTCCAAAGGAACAGAAGCAACCTTGCCTGAAGTCAACATCAGTGGTGAGCATGTCTTAACTCTTAGAGTCAAATTGTAATAGGCAAGGGATTATTAGGAACTGTATAGAACTGTTGATTGATGCCATGTTTAAAATAAAACTTCTAAAATTGTAGAACTGTGTCTGGCTTTCTTTTCTGTTGAAAAGCAAGGGTTCCGTTACTCAATGCAGAGAAATATGCAAAGATCCCGTTGACACAAGCCAACAGCTTGAGGCCAAAAGAGAAACGGGTAACACCCGTAGGGGGCCTCGGGGGCCCTGGGAGCTAATTAAATGAAAGTACAGTGCAGGGGGTAAGTTAGAGCACTTTGGGGGCAGCCCAGGGGAGGGGCCCCAAAAGAAACATTAGGGGGCCGGGCCCCATGGGCCCCATGTTAGCTACGGGCCAGCTCCAGAGGGCGGCTGGTCCAAAAGGGCTTTGGTGTGATGCCGCTTGCCAAAACCAGAGGAGTCCCAGCAGGTCCCTGGAGCTTCCTGGGGGGGGGCTGCTTTGCCCGGCTCACCTGTGGCCCCCTCCCAAAAGGAAGCTGCTGGGCGCTCTGGGGAAGCACGACACACTAAGAATGGGCCGCCCCTCCCCCAACACACACAGCCAGCCCTCAGGTGCTCTCGCCCATTCAGACAACAGGAGCAGCAGACTCAGCTGGCACAAAGATGTTTATTGGTCCCAGGAAAGAGGGTGCCCTTCTGGCAGCTCCGCCCCACACAAGCCTGTGTGCACACAGAGCATGGGGCAGCGGTCTGGGCAGAATGCCAGGGCAGCACGGAGAAGGAGGTGCTGCTCGGAGGGAGAGTGCCAAAGCCTTCCCAGACCTCCGTCCTCCCGCCAGCACTCACCACCTGGGAGCAGAGCTTGAGCCCGGCAAGGCTTCGAGTTCAGGCGGCAATTTGCAGCTCATCTCGCGGAGCCAAGCTGCATCCACCAGAAAGAGCGGGCCCAGACGTGGCTGCGTGGCCTAAGGCGGACTGAGACCAGTGGGAAGGCCAGCCCGCTTCCCTACAGGAGCCAGCAGCGAGGGAGGGGAAGGGCACGTGGCGCCTCCTCTCCCGCCCCGCCCGGAAGGGGCGCCTGGGGCTCCCTGAGCCACCGCCTCTCTGGGTCCCTGCAGGAGCCGCCCGCCTCACCATCCCAGGCCCTGCCCAGACCTCCCCTCCTCCCTGGCCAGCAGTCCCACCAGGCGGGAGTGGAGCCGCCCAGACCAAGGACATCAGAACAAGGAAGAAGAAGCAGCGGCAGAGTCTCCATGATCACCCCCAGGTCAAGCGTCTTAGATGGTCTTGCAACAGCTTTGCCCTCGACCCAAGAGCATACGTTCAGGAGTAAACCTTCACCAGCAGGGGGAGAGAGCGTGGCCAGCTCCAAAGGCTGCCCTTGTCCGCCCCTCCGTCAGTAAGGGTCTTCCTCGTCTGTGTCCTGGATGAGAAACAACAAGACATCAAGCCAGGCAACCGTCTGGATCCTCAGAGGCACCACACAGCACAGGCTCAGCGGCAGCAGGAGGAGGAGGTGAAGGCGGAGACCGCTGTGCCAGGCAGACCTTCTGTGCTGGGATGCCCTGAGGAGCCACACCATCTGCAAAAGTGCCTCCTGCCAAGGCCCCGCTGCTGCTGCTGCTGCTGCTGCCGCCCCCCCCAAAAGGGACACGGGGCCAGGAGTGGGTCACAAGGGAAGGGGAACCCGGCCATCCTCCCTCGCCACACGCGGAGTGAGCAGGCCGCTCGACTGCACGTCAGGACCTTGCCGATGCTTACCAGGCACTGCAGGCACCTGCTGGCCAGCCTCGCCACGCAGCTCGGGTGCTCCAGTCTGCAGGGACACACAGCAGGGCAAGGGGTCAGCTCAGCAGCACCAACTCCCTGCGTGCACCCCCCCCATCACCGCCCTGCCAGGGGACTCGCGGGCAAGGCACCGGAACCCTGCTCCTGCTCCCACACTCTCCTCCCCCCTCCTCGGGAATTTTATTTTATTAATTTGATTTCTACCCCGCCCTCCCCACCGAGGCCGGCTCAGGGGGGCTCGCATAAGAAAGCAATAGATAAAACAACAGTATAAATATCAATATAAAATAGAATATAAAACAAAATATAAAATACACAACATAGTTATCTTGGAATCTTGGAAAGTCCCCCTCATCCAGTCTGACAAGCAGAGGTGGGGGGGGGGCTCCCCGCTGGCCAGGCCAGGCCAGACCACAGAGCGCTCTCTCTCTCTCTCCCTCCCTCCCTCTCGGTGGGCCCCAAAGGCTCCCCTGGGGCGGCTGTTCCATAACTCAGGGGATACTCAGCGGGGGGGGGGGAAGGAAGGGGTCAGTGCAGGACCTCCAAGGTGGAGCCACCTGTCATGCGGGAGTGTTGGGTATTACAAGTTGAAAACACTCAGTATATCTGGGGTTAAATGTTTATGTTACTCACAGGAAGTCACATGTTTCTCATCTAACCAATGTTCTTTAGCTGTAGGAATGCCCTGGAATTTTGTCCCTGATCTAGGAATTTGATTGGGACTAAAGTGTCAAGGTGTATTACCATTTTATGGCTCTTTTCCCGTCTTTGTTTGTCCCCTGGGGCGGCTGTTCCATACCTCAGGGGATACTCAGCGGGGGGGGGGAAGGAAGGGGTCAGTGCAGGACCTCCAAGGTGGAGCCACCTGTCATGCGGGAGTGTTGGGTATTACAAGTTGAAAACACTCAGTATATCTGGGGTTAAATGTTTATGTTACTCACAGGAAGTCACATGTTTCTCATCTAACCAATGTTCTTTAGCTGTAGGAATGCCCTGGAATTTTGTCCCTGATCTAGGAATTTGATTGGGACTAAAGTGTCAAGGTGTATTACCATTTTATGGCTCTTTTCCCGTCTTTGTTTGGTGTTCTTTTTTTTTATTTAATAAAGATTTTATTGGCTCCCCTAAAAAGGGGAGGTATTTCGCTTAAAAGAAAAAATGGGAAGGGTAAACAGTGGGAGACAGAGAAAGC